GGTTGCAATGTGATTCCATGAGAAATTTTAAACAGTCAAAATGAATGTGTGGTATTTTAGGGGCCACGTCATCTTTGTGAGGTGCAGGGTGGTTATCAGGAGGAAGCATGGTAGAAAATCATCTGTTCTCCTGCCTCTGGGGCCTGGTTACACAAGTGTGTTCACTTTATGAAAATTATTCAAGCTGTAACTTTGTGATTTGTACTCTGCTGAACTGATGGGTGGACTCTTTTTTTGTGTAAAAAGAGTTAACCTCAACAACATTAAAACTCATAATTTGTTGAGACAGTTTCTGAGGGCAGATTTTCATAATGTACATCCTTTAATACCTTTAATAGCTTCATTTTATAATTCCTGTCATTAAAAGGACAAAGCATTCATTCCCATTCAGGACAGTGGTGAAACAAAGATGAGGCAGTGGGAATGGCCTGGCCTGCCCAGGTGCCTATAATTAGGAAGTTCGTTGTTTGTAGAGGATTTTAGATGACAGAGTCATCTTCATTTTTATTATCACCCTATCCCCACAGTTCTAAACAAGGCTATTGATAAAGTACTTAAAAAAAAAAAAATCTTTCATTGGTCTAAATCCTAAATAATTGGTGAGCTTATTAGTATTATTTTTATTTCATCTATATATAAATATACCTCAAACTAGCACACCTTTATTTCTTATCTAGTAGATTCATATCCCTTAATGTACATGTGGTCTCAGCCTTGTGGTCCTTTCTAGAGTAAGTTTGTAGTCAGCTGGAAGCTGCAGTCTCCATGGTGCTTCCAGTGATTCAACAATAAATTTGGAAAAGAGCAAGGACAGGACAGTAGTTATGAAGATGAGGGAACAGCCCGAGTCACATCAGTGCTGTTGTATTCTGTTATGACTATTAGAGCTCTTGGGTTTAAAGGCTAGCACAGTGAAACAGAATGCTGATTATCACTGAGAGTTCTTCTGCCATGTAAAGGAAGCATCTTAAAAGCAGTCCATTCTAGTTATCCAGTCTGCTAGGTGTGCCGCTGCTCTTGGATTAGCATTACTTCAGCTTGGTCACTCAGAGAGATGGAAACATAAGAGTTGTGAAAATTCTCAGCAGTTTTGCTAACATCAAAAATTGAATACTATTCTAAGCTCAATTAACAGCTTAAAATTGTATCTATTGACTGATTGTTACATAGATTTGCTTCCATGGTTACTTCAGATTTTAAATGTCCAGTTTTGTTTACATTGTAAATCTTTTGCCTGTCCAAAATAATTGTCATTGAAGTGAATAAAAGTATTAAACTGAAATCAACGAAAATATTGTGCCTAGGGAGTTGAGATGCAGTTCTCAAGAAACCTCCTACCTGGTGAAGACAAGAAGGTTGAGTTGACAATTGAAAAAAAATCACCACACTTCTGTAGACCTCTCACCCTTTGCTTATCCCCATGCTCTTTCCCACAGTCCTCTACTTACCCCCAGAAACATTTAGCTGCTTTTGATTATTCACCAGTCTTTCAAAACAATGTGGCCACATTAAAAATAGCAAGTTTTGGGGCCTCCCCGGTGGCGCAGCAGTTGAGCGCTGGGTTGCGAAGCTGCCCGCAGCCTCTGCAGTGCCGGTTCGATCCCCGGCTGCTCCCCGGCCACCGGAGGAGGGTCCCACATGGCACGCAGACCTCTCCTGCCGCCCGCTGCTCCCCTCAGCAGTGTACTTCGGTCCTTCTGCCTGCTCTGCTCCCTGCTCTGGCTCTGGTGAATTCTCTCACCCTCCCGTGCTTCTGACTGTACCCAGTGCATGTATAAACAAACAAATAAATAAATAAAAACATGCCTCTATTTAAAAAAAAAAAAGCAAGTTTTGATTGTGTGACAATATTAGCTAGCAATGTACTTATAGCCCTTTACTATTCTTTTTCAGAGCTAGAATTTTTTATGAAATTGAAAGTAAATTTCTAAAATGCACATTTCTTCCTCCAAATAACCAATACATTGGTTATTGTGTTGTTGTTGGGGAACATCCTAGGTATTCCTCATTAGGACATGTAAATTAGGGCACATCTGCTTAGTGGCATGCAGCCACTAAAAAGTATGGCTTCCTTAAAAGCATTTTTTGAATACTGGTATTTTGTGTCAGTATTTATGTAAGTTAAAAGATGTAGAGTTATATTTATATAGATATATATTCTTTAAAGCAAGATTTAAAAGAGTGCAAAAATAGAGGGGGAGGGGAAAATAGAGGGAGAGGGAATGTGTTGCTTAAATATCAAGGCGCTAAATATTTCTAAAAGGAAGCTTGGGAAATAGATCACACTGGTCACCTTGGAGAAAGTTAGCAAGTTGAGGTGTAGATATACACCCTGAAATGCACCCTATTCACACTTTGATTTTTCTTTTTGTACTTGCTGCATGCATGATTTTACTTTTTTTTTTTTTAAGATTTATTTATTTATGCATCCAAGAGCTGGGGTGTAGGCCAGAGATGGGGAAATGAGAGGATTCATCAGAGACAGAGAGGAACTGAACAGGCAGATCTCCTGAAATACACTGCTGAGGGGAGCAGTGGGAGAGACAGGAGAGGTCTGCCGAGCCATGTGGGTTGGTCCCTGGCCAAGAACAAAGACAGCACAGTTCTTAAAGACCCACTTTCAGTGTCAGGCGACAGCTGCCCGGAAGAGCTAGGGATTGACATTAGCATCAGCTCCTGTGTGCCTTGGATGTGTTGGTACATTTCTGCCCTGGAGGCTGGCATGCAGGTAAACCCAAGCACCTCTTCTTCAGCCTGAGTCACTCAGAGACAGACATTTATTAGGGGAAGACATTCAGCATTTTCTGTTAAGCTGTTCCTTCATGGAGTCAAATGTCAAACCTTTGAATGTGAGAAAAATGCACACCTGGATATTTTTATTTATTTATAATCTCCCCCCAATACCATGTAATTCCAAAAAGAAAAATGTGAGGGAGCATTCCTAAATTTATTGGTGATATAAAACTGGACAAGTACAAGTAAAAGCAGATTGGAAACCAGTAAAAGTTGCTGAATTTTGGTTGGTAGTGGCTATTAGAAGTACCCAGGATAAGTTAATTACTGTAGTTGAGCACTGAATTTAGCTTTGAATTTCTTGGCACATAAAAAAGGGAGAATATAAAGTATATGGTTCTTTTTATTTGAAGCCAGAAATTATGAAATTTTGCCTAAGGAAATGGACATTTTCCTGATACTCAGTTCAAGGGGGAAATTCAAATACAGATACATATTAAAACTATATATAGACTGACTCAGGTCTTCATGGTGGTTAGTGCCTCTGAAGGTATTAAAGTTAGCTAGTCAAAATGTGCCAAACCTCAGCAAATACAGTCCCGTGTATCAGATCTCCCTCTTTCGCCTTGACACTGTGGTAATGGTCACCTACTGGATCTACATTCACTTTTGTATATACATATACATGTGTGTGTGTATGTATATTACATCATTGTTCATTTTTGTACAATGTATGCTTGTCTGCTTTCTCTTCTCAGCTGTATTCCCTGTAAAATTCCCACCACCAGTTCACCCGTGAACCATCACCATAGTCCTTTTCACTCTTACACTCATCCAGCGTCCTCTCCAAAAGGGGTGTCTTCTGGGGATGCATATCTGATCAGACCCCATCATTGTCCTCACCCCATAATCTCATAACCCTTGTGTCCCTTTGGTTTTAGGATAGAAACCCAAACCCACTCTTCCCCAGCCTCTCCTGCCGCCTCTCTCCCTCCTGCCTCTGTTGCAGCCTGTTTTTGTGCTTGTACGTGGCTGCGCCCTGGAGCTCCCCCGCCTCCTCACAGCACGCTGCTGGTGCCAAAGCCAACTCTCCTTTCTTTGGTCTGAGCTACATCAACCTCAGAAGCTTCTCTGACCCTTGAACCCTCTCCCCAATGTTGTTTGTTCTCATTTCTGTGTGTGCGTGTCTCAGGAGTGCTTGTCTCTGTTACATCTTCCCTACCAAGCGGCAAGCCCTGTGACCTGACAGCAGGACTGGTTAAGCTCTTACTCACCCTTTATTTCCACCCACACACAGGCCCTAGTGTGTAGTAGGGGTCGATAAGATACCCAGAAAGGGAACCAAGGGTCATCGATGTAGATACCGGCACAGCCTCCCGCTCCAATGGCCATATCTGATGCTGAAGCCTTTCTCCCTCAGCACATCACTTTCTTCTGTCAGAACTTTCAAGAAGCCCCATGAAGGATGCAATCCATAAGCCATATGTAGCCCTCCTCCACCTGGACCCTCATCTCAAACTCATTTCTCCCAGTCCCCTTAGTCCTTGCATCACAGCTAGAATGGAGCTTTCTGGGCTTCTTCTGTCCACACTCTTCCTCAGCACTTCCCTGTTCAAAATCTTAAGTGTCCCCACATAAAATCTTGACTGAAAATAATGCCTCCCACAGTCTGAATTTGGAGTAACTGTGATGTGGTATTTATCTTCTGTCTGAACTACAGCTTTTTGGGTTTTTAGGTTGTAGTCAAGTCCTATTTATTATCTAGAAAGTCCTATTTATTATCTATACATCATTGTATATTACAATGATGTAATATACCATGTAGAAGATACTCACATGGTAGGTAGTCGTAGAAATGTGTTAAGTGACCAGCAGTGCGTGATACTTAGCATCTTTCTAAATCAGTCTTTAATAGGAGCCATTTTCCCTGTTGCTGCTGTAATTTGTAGTGAACAAGTGGCCAGTCAGATACAAATTCTGTTCTCCTCTTAAATATCTAAAGATTAGTGACTCTGAATCAGATTCTTATACTGTCTTCTGCAGGTATGTTTAAGACCTCGTGGATCTTTACTTGCAAGGATGCAATATTATTCTGACACTCCATGCAATAAAGTAAAATGAAATAGGCACACGCAGTATGACCAACGGCCCTCAAGCCTCCTGCCCCCCTCCTCACTCAGAATGGAGGCTACAGCCTAGAGGTTCCTGCTTGTTGCCATGATTTCTGCCATGAAAGAATAACCCCACCTCCATTTCCTCTCCAACAGGCGGATTTAAACTGCAATATTCAAGATGATGCCGGAGCTTTTTATGGTGTAACCAGTCAGTATGAGAGTTCTGAAAATATGACAGTCACCTGTTCCACCAAAGTTTGCTCCTTTGGGAAGCAAGTAGTAGAAAAAGTAGAGGTAAGTTGTCCTCTCTATGCTGGAACCTTAAAGGGCAAAGCATCACCTTCCTTTCAGCTTTTAGTGAGCAGAGTTTTACTTTCTGGTGTCTTCTTTCTCCACTTCTCTTCCCTGTTACTTCTGAAAAGGCAAAATGACTCAAAAGCAACTGCCAGCCTCCCAGCTGTCTGAGGTTGGCCTGTCCCCACCCCTTCGCGATCAGTAGGGGCCATCCTGCATGAGGCTTATAGGGCGTGCTGGTTGGGTAGCTGGGTGTCATGGACCCTGCTGTCCTTCCATCCCTGGTTCCAGGGACCCCCAGAGGTTGTAGGTAACAACCAGTGGGATGCAGCTGACTGGCACCTGCCTTCCAAAGTCCTGATCCCTTGAGCTTGGCATTGTTACTTTGGCCCCGTCCACTCCAATCATTGATTGTCTCAGATATGTATCGGTGCATACTTGGATCAAATATCTATTTATGACTTTTATATTTTTTATCTCCCTCTCTTTCAAAAAATGTATATTGTTTTCTCAGGATGGGTTGATTTGGGTGACTAATGCTTGTAGTTAACAGTCCATTTAAAGTGGTACTTTCCAGTGTCTTTTACCCATCCTTGTTCAGTGACCTCAGAGGTCCGAGAGCCCAGCCCAGCTGTACAAAACTTTGTGCTCAGATGTGTGAGAGAGAGAATGCCATGGTGGTAAGAAGGGAGGGAAAAGGGGCAAAAGTATGTTTTTTAAAACCTTGGGCTTTATAGTGAGGATTTGGGGTGCAGCTGCTCCTCACGGCTTCCTGAACACAGGATGGGTTTTGTGAGAATGGTATTAATGAGGGTTCCACTGACAGAAGAGGACATCAGTGAATTGACTAGATGACCAGACAGGTGTAAGTAAGCGTAGGGGTCATGCGCTTTCTAAAATGCTAGCACTGGGGAATCCAGTAAGACATTTTGAATTGAAATAAAAACTGGATATTGCTTAAAGAGGAGGAAGAGTCAGAGGTCACACATTTTATATTCAGAAGAACAGTGCTGCCACCAGCAGAGATAAGAAAGTAAGGTATTCAAGAGAAAATAGGGGGTGACTATAGATGGACACCACACTTTGGGAGACAGATAAAGGCTGAAAATATCAACTGGGAATTTTATGCATTAAGGATAACTAAAATTGTGGGAATGGAGAGCTATCTGCAGGGAGAATATGGGAGCACAATAATAAAGATTTAGTTTGGGAGCAGAAGCCAGACCTGGGGAGAGTGGAAGGGAGACACAGAGGAGCAGAGGACAGAAGTAGTGGTGGGAAGGAGGAATAGGCTCAAGGCAATGTCTGTGAAGCCCTAAAAGGGGTGGGTGAGCAGGTAACTGTTTAATGAGACAGGGCTGGGAGACCGAGAACCAGATGACCTCCATCTCCTCTGAGGAGGAGGAAGCAAGGTTACTTGTTGGTTTTGGGAATGTGAAATGGTAGTATTGGACCAGCTACCGAATAGTCAAGCTTATCTGTAGAAGGACTTCCTGCCTGGACAGGTACATGTGAGAAAAGTTGAGCTATGCAAGTTACTCAGTTTCTAAGATTTCAAATTATCCTAATTGTGTCCTCAGATAACACACCCAAAGCTTTATACAAGTTTAGAGGACAGCAGAGGTTGCTTTTGACTTGTGAAATCCCAGGAATTTTCTTGGAGAAAGTGGTATGAGTGTGGCAGGAGGAGTTTTATAATTAAGCCTTTAATTTTGTGTGTATTTCTACATTTGATGTGAAATGGGAGTCTCCTTATATATTCTTCCAAGTCAATATACAAAACCATTTATTAAATGATTCATCCTCTTCTGATTGAGGGATCTTTTTCTTTTTAAGTTACCCTAAGTTATGGGGCTCTTTTTTCCCCCCACTCTATGTATTTCATGTCACAATACCATGTTGATTTAATTACAGTGGCCTAAGAGTATGTCCTGATATCTACTGAGACAAGTCAGTTTCACTGTTTTCCTTTTTTGTGTATTTTCTAGGCTAGCAACTAGCATTTATTCTTCCAAACAATAAGATCGTTTTAAAAATGTAAAGAACATAAACTTTGCTGAGCAATCCTTTGTAATTGCATTAGATTTAGATATTATTTGGGGATAAATTTATTTATTATTTATGTCAGATCTTTCCAATCAAGAACTTATTTGCATTTCTGTATCATTTTATCTATTTTAAATAAGATTTTATATTTTCATATTTAGGCTTAACCCCTTGTGAAAAAAATTCTAAATATTATGTAATTTGGTTATGCAGTTTCCCATTTCTAGATTTTAATCACCAAAAAAGAGACAAGCTCTTGGTTTTTGCATATTGATGTTTTTCTGGCCATCTTGACTTTTTAGCCCTAGTCAGTCATTTCCTAGACTCTTAGATTTTCTGTGTGTACAATCTTTTTGCAGCAGCAAAAAGAAAAGCCTTTATTTCTCTCTTCTTTTCCAGTGTTTATGCCCTTTTTTTAAATTTTCTCATCTTTTTTTCATTTGCCAAAACCTCCAACTAGTTGTAAAAAGAAATAATATACAGTTACTGATGTTAGTAGAAATGGTTTTGGTGGTTTGCCATTGAGGATTACATTTTTTATTGGTTTTTATAAAAGCGTTTTATATTTAAGTGCTTTCTTTCTATTCCTATTTTACTTAGGACTTTTATTAGTAATTGCTACAATATTTTTTTCAAATGCCTTTTCAGCAACTTGGACTCTGATTTTTCTCCATTTTGTTGATATATATGAGTTAATGCTCTCCCTGTGTGGGAACCACCACAGCATTCCTCAGGAAAGTTCTATTTGGGATACGTTGATATATTCTGCTTGCTATCTTTACATAAAATGTTTGCATTTGTTAATTGATACCCTGTACTTTATCATCTCATCAAATTTCCATATTGAATGTACATCAGATTCATCAAAAAGAATTGGGACACCTGTCTTTTTCTGTTTGTGTATCATTTAAAATAACTGTTCTTTAAAGGCTACATGAAATTGAGCTATGAAACCGTTTGGCTTTTGTACCATTTTCAGTGATAGATCTCTAAAACTTTCTGGTCATCTCCATAGTAATTGAACTATTAGAGTCTTTTTTCTTTCAATAATTTTTATTTTAATTTTTGGGATTACAATTTTGCTCTTCCATGTGTGCACATGTTCTACTCACCCTCCTACCTATTGGAGTTTTTCACTTTTATCTTTTGGTTGAGACTCGCAATTTGTACTTTGCTGGGAAAGCATCGTATCTTGTAGGTTTTCATTGCTCTTCGTCCCGGTATAGAGTTATGTAGCATAAACCACTTATAAATCTTCTAATCTCTACTGTGATTGTGGTTTTGTCTCTTTTCTTTCTTCTTATGCTTCTGAATGGGTTTATTTTGTCTCTTTAAAGGATTCTTTGTTTTGTCTACATTTTTAATTTCTATTACACTGATTTGAGCTTTTATCTTCATTAATTTACTATTCCTAGTTTCCTTTGATTTCTTTGTGGTTTGGGGATGTTTTTTATCTTTTTTGGTGGTTTAAAAATTTTAAGATGTGTATTTAATTCTGCAATTTGGTGTCCTTTTTAATGATGAAGGCATATTGAAGTTCCTTCATTAAGTTTGTGCCAAGTATAGTTTCATTGGGGCTGTAAGTTTGATATAAAATATTTTCTTTTTCATTGCTTTTAAGTAATTTTTTGTTTCCTTTTTTTTTATTTTTTTTAATTAATATCCTTTTTAAAATCCTTTGATGGAAGGTTATCTAGGAGTGTGTTTCTTATTTCTGAGTGCTTCAGTGGGATCACCAAACTGAATAGAACAGTATCTTCCTTTTCTTTTTTATTAAAGACATAAATAACTCACAGGGGCTCACGATCAGGGGGCAGTAGTGTTTGGAGAAGTGAGCTGCACTGGTTGTTGGTCTGTGAGACCTTCTCATGGGGTGGAGGATTTTCTTGGGGCTCTTTGAAGAGTTGGAACTGCCCGGGCTATCTTTGCAGATCTCAAGTAGAGAATAACTTGTCTTGGGTGGGGAAGGTCATATTTTTTTTTTTTAATAGAGGCATGTTTTTATTTATTTATTTGTTTGTTTTGTTTGTTTATACATGCACTGGGTACAGTCAGAAGCACGGGAGGGTGAGAGAATTCACCAGAGCCAGAGCGGGAGGCAGAGCAGGCAGAAGGACTGAAGTACACTGCTAAGGGGAGCAGCGGGCGGCAGGAGAGGTCTGCGCGCCAAAGGTCATATTTTTTATGACCTTTGCTAGAAGGAGTGATACAATTCTTGTTTAAAGTTATCATCTCTCCGACTTTTTGTTACAGAAAAATAATGGATTCTGAGTATGGCATTAAGTTTGGGGCTAGGGTGGGTTTTAAGTATGTAAGCTACATATAAATAGTACAACCTGTAGCAGACAATTTATTTTGAAACAGTAAAATGCTTTTGCAGGCAGTAATGTGTTTCATGTATTTTGAAGTCAAAGTGTCTAAATGCCCAAATCCTTTTCCCCCCTCACAGACGGAGTATGCAAGGTTTGAGAATGGCCGATTTGTATACCGAATAAACCGCTCCCCAATGTGTGAATATATGATCAACTTCATCCACAAGCTCAAACACTTACCAGAGAAATATATGATGAACAGTGTTTTGGAAAACTTCACAATTTTATTGGTAACTGCTTTGTCTCTTTCTATTTGGGAGATTCAGCCTGAGACTGGTGGGGACAGACAGTAATGTAGACCTCAGGGCATCAAGGTCCAGGCCAAGAGGACTGAGCTGGTTGTTGGTTGGGCTCCAGGAGACCAGTCAGCAGTTGAATCACAGAATCCATAGGGCAAACTTGAACTTGATCTGGGGTCAAATCTGTAGAAAAGCCAGGGGCAGAACTGGTATCCAGGCAGGTTTAAAAAGTTGTAGTCCCAACTTTTTAACTCTGACTGCATATTAGAAAGACCTGGACAACTTTCCAAAGTCCTCTTACCAAAGCTGCATTTTCTATCATTTAAGCCAGCATCTCTAAGGATAGAACCCAGCGTTGTATATTTTTAAAAGTTCCTTAGGTGATTCCAGTGCTAGCCAAGTGTGAGTCTCAGCAGCACAATTATGATGCAATTGTATGCATCATAAATGAGGCAAGACCTGAGTCAGTTGGTTTATAATTAAAACATATCTTGACTCATTTCACAAAGGATTTGCAAGGCCTTGTAAGAAGTAACATATGTTAATACAGCAAAATCTGAACTCTAAGTACCAGGAGAAGCATAAATTAGAATAGATTGTTATGGCCAGGAAGCGGGAGGGGAGAATACTTTTCATAGGCTGAAGATTATGATCAAAACTTAATGGGCAGCTGAAGAGAAAGGTCCATGATGGGAAAACTTTTTCATCTCCCTGAACTGTGCTGTGTGTGGGATTTTTTCCCCCTTAATATTTAACTTTAAGACAAATTTCTCTTAGGGATTTCATCTGGGAACTTGGAAGGTTATTAAAAATAGTATTGTCCTCAAAATATACCTATAAAATAGTCAGTGATGGATTTCAGAAGGCTCATTTAATAAATATATAACATTCCTTGGAAGGAAAAATGCCAAAGTAAAACTTGGTAGAAACAGTTTTGCTAAAGGGACAAGACTATATTGTGATCAAAACACTCAGACATCTGAAGGCCTGCTTTGTTACTGGGATTAAGAGCCAGCATACTTCCAGCAGGAATTCTTCATCTGAAGCTTTCAGATGTGGTGGGAAAGTGGTTTTCAATCATTGGTGTGCTGGATTTAAAAAGAAAAAGAAAAAAAGGTGCTCTATCCCAGCCCACCTCCCCCCAAAAACCCCCAGATTTGTAGTTTTTGCCTATTTCCATTATGTAAATATGCCCTCCATGGACATTTTCATGCCATCAATGATTGTCTATCTCAAGAAATTCCTTAACATTTACCAATCACTTTTTTTGTGAGCCAGTTGGCATAGTTTCCACACCACTATAAAAAAAAAAAAATGAAAATTACAATATTCAAAAACTTTGATATATTAGATTCATCCAGAAAATTTCTAAAAATCCTGAGACCTGGGCTCCAAGATTTCTGGAGGCAGGCCCAGTGCCATGGATTTTGTCTGTGTGTTTTTATGGCTCCCAGGTAGTTCAAGTGCCCACCTGCCGTGAGACCCACTGCTCACTACCCACTGGTAAGCTGGTAGCAAATATTAGGGCTCATAGTCATGTGCATTGGCAAACTCAATTTTGCATATAATTTTCACTTATTCTAGGGAGAGAGTCTCAAATGTGAATTCTCAAATGAGTCCGTGGCCTTTAAAAATTTAGAAACTAGCAGGGGAAATTCAGAAATGTCTAGGGGAACCTTTGGAAAACTTGTTCTTTAAAAACTATTCATTAGGATTCTTTTCTCTAGTGATCTTTGGGGAAAACTGAGCAGTTCGGTACCTGGGTAAGGCAGGTACTTTGCATAAAGGTCTCTGTCGCTATGTAAGAGCAGATGGGTCGCCTTAGCACTCAGAGGAGAGATGTCCAGTGTGGCCTCTTGAGGTGGACACTAAATAGCCTCAGAAATTAATGAGTGCTTAGAGTGAATGGCCACCCTACCCTACTGGGCTCTCTTGGAGGGAGTCTTAGCTATTTCCTAACTATCAGTTTTGAGTCCATTCAGCATGTTAGGGAATATGTCCTCATTCCCTCAAGCCCTGCCTCACAGAGCACAGCCAAGGAAAACATGGCCCAGACAAATTTTATAGCATGTGTATTACCCACAAAACCCATTACTATATCAGTAATGCTCAGCATAGCTATCTGGCGAATCACCAGAGTAAATTAATTTCAAAATGCACTATTAAACCAGTAAACAAACCTCAGATATACAGAGTTAGTAACTCTTACTGAATATTTGCTAGAAGTAATATTTTAGTTGTAGAAAAACTGAAATTAAGCCAGCACCCCTGGATTATGAGAATAAAACCATCTCATTCATTAACAGGAGAAATAGTACTTGTCAGCTCTTTCTTGGGGTTTGGATATAGGAGCACAGCCAGGATGGCAGCTGTTGGACATGGTTGTAGGTGTTTTCCTAGGTGTTTTGAATACAAAGTCAAGTCAACAAGACCAAGCTAAAGACAGTTTTCATCAGGGTGACTCAGGAATTGAGGTGATCCTGTAGACTGGGATCTTAGTGACAGCAGCGGAAACCAAGAGCCAGGTGTTCTGTCATCTTTTGAGAATGTATTCACATACACAGAAACACTTTTTTCCCTCTTTTCTCCTTTTGAATCTCCATCATGAAGCCTGGACAAGGTATATTTTTTAATGAAAAGTTTGCCCAAAGGTAGGATATAGTAGAGGTTTCTGGCACAGTGCTCATAAGCTTTTTGAAAATATATTATGAAATTCTCAGTGCATAATGGTGAAGTCATTTTTACTCCCATTTTATGGATAAGGAATGTTACACCTACTTGAGCACACAGAACCATTTATAGATGTAAATTTAAATTTGAATTTGTGGAAAAGAAGCACTTAGCAGGATAGTTCATGGCCTAGAATCAGAAGACTTGGGTTGAAGACCCAGCTCTGCTTTATGACCTTAGGCAAGTCATTTCATCTCCAGACCTCAGTTTTCCCTCTCCCATTTGCAAACAAAATGTCTGGACTGTCCACTTCAAAGGTTATTGAGAATATTTTAATTTATCCAACTAACCTATGGAGAGATTTTATTAGCTGCTGAAGACAATGCAAATAAAACGCTGTGCTTGTCCCTTAGTAAATCTTGGCCTGTAGGGGAAAGCATGTAAAGTAATTATTTCAATCCAAAGTAATAGCTATAGTATGCTTAAAAAGATACCCTGGAAGTTCAGTGTCATTGAACTACCTAGGCAGGTCCCTGTCGTCGGAGTGAGGTGGAGAATCCTCAGGGTTGTTAAGAGATAATGTTTACATTGCCTTGATAGATAAGCAGGCATTTCTCAGATTTACCAAGAAAGGCGCATTCCAGGGGTGCATTCTTATATGTCAGTACTGGGATGTGGTGGACTGGGCAGGTAGGGTGGCCATCTGTAGCCTGGTGAGGGAAGCAGGATTCATCAGGAAAACTGAACTATGGCTGGCAACTGGCAGAGCTAGGTAGGCACCTGATGCCCACAGTGCAGATAACAGAATTACTTGACCTAGGTCAGGAGGTCAGGAAAGGTTTTCCCAAGGAAGAAACAATGGAGAGGTATCTGCCAGCTGAATAGGCAGAGAGAGTAGGAAAGAATTCTCCAGGCAGGCGGGACACAGCAAGTCGGAAGCTGGAGAATAGGGCCATGTGGCTGGCGTGGGAGAGGGAAGGAGAGCCAGGAGCCAGCAAGCTGGCCAGACCGGGCAGGGTCTCCTTAGCCTTATGGGATGAGAACAGGCTTTCTCTTCATCCCAAAGAAGCCATTCAGGGTTTCTGAGCAAGAGTCTATTATGAAAGAGAAATATACATGTGTGTTTGTATACATAGTCATTCCATATATTCTTGTAGATACATTCATTCTGTATATTCTTACAAGATTTCATGACTGCTGTGTGTGCAGAAGGGAGAAGAACAAGTAGGGGATGTGGGATGTTCACAAGCGGTTTGCTGGCACCTTGGGCTATGACAGGGGTGGACTTGAGCTCTTCAGGAGGTCAGAGCAGCAGGGCATGGCATTTGTCTGGATGTGAGCATGAGTGAGAGATTTCAAGGATGAGAGAAACCTGCTTACCTGGAGTATTTGGTCTGTGAGGAAGAGGTAGGATATAGGACTAGAAAAGCAGGTGGTTGTAGTAATGGGAAAAAGGTCTATGATATCCAAGGGCAGGGGGCGGGGAATGTAACCAATCCATCACTGTGTTAATTCATTTCTCCAGAGCAGCGAGGTACAGTGGTTAAGTAAAGGGTGTTTGGAATCAGAAGATCTGGGTTTCTTAGTTGACAATTGTATAACCCCCCCGCCCCAAATGAACCCCTGCCACATTCTCTGTCAAAGAAGGAGACAATGTGTCTGTCTCCTTAGCATTTCATGTTAAGTAGATGCATACTAAGCAGTCAAAATAGGTGACAATTAGGATGTCAATATTTGTGACTGTGTGCCAAACATTAGTCTGGTCCTTGGGAATATGGGCCTGCTTTTGAGGAACTTAGGGAAAAATCACAAGTCCTCTGAGAGTGTATTCCTTAGACAGGCACCATGAAAGGTAGATGCTATGAGGATACTGGAAACTAGATAAACAAAGCCCGATACCTGGCAGGATAGAGACCTAGGCAAACTGGACTAGTGTCTCAAATGCAAATGTTTCAAAATACTGAGCTGGCCTAACACACAAGCAGGAGAGCCATCGAAGTGTCTAGTTGGGGAGTCAGGTTAGATAGCGTGGGGACTGAGACAGGGCCCAGGGGAAGGGGTGGCAGTGACCTAGGCCAGAGAGCTGGAGATGTGAATGAAGCAGACACCCTGGGCATGCAGCGGGCAGTGAGAATGTCAGAGACTCAACCTGAGAGGGGAGGCAGATGAGTCTGGCAGACCCTCAGCTAATGTCACCTCCTTTGACTTTGTTTCATTATGTTGATGAGAAAAATCCTGTCCGATAGGACACTGAACAAATCCTTTTCAAGGACCTGCTTCTGTTACACAGCTCTTTGTTTAAAGTCACTTTTTTCAAGAACCAATAAGTAAGGACTTGCTGTATTTCAGAACACACTTTGAAAGGTAAAGCCTGTATGCATGAAAAGAATCAGCATTTGATGTGGACTCCACAGTGTTCCCTCGATCAGCATAGATTTTACCAAGTCCACACCCTGTTGGTTGACACGGTAGTGAGCAAAACACTCATGGAGCTTAGGTCTTCCCTTCGCTATTGTGAAACAAAATTGAGTGGAAGCTTAGGAATAAGATAGGAAGCAAGGGCCTCCCTGGTGGCACAAGAGGTTAAGACGCAACCTGTGAAGCTGTCTGCAGCCACTGCAGCACGAGTTCGATCTCTGGCCAGGGAGCTACCCACATGGCACAGCAGACCTTCCCTGACTCGCCCGCTGCTCCCCTCAGCAGTGTATTTCACTCAATCTGCCTGTTCTGCTCCCCACTCTGTCTCTGGTGAATCCTCTCACCCCCCCCCCCACAACTCTGGCCTGTACCCTGGTTCTTGTATGAATAAATAAATCTTTAAAAAAAAAAGATAGGAGGCAATTTTAGGATATGTCACAATTTTGTGATATAGAAATATAGTAAATTGTCTTTGTTGAAAGGAAATCAGCCCCTTCCAAAAAAAAAAAAAAAACCCATACTAATTTCTGGGGTCTCTTCTTGGGCTTAGATTATGAATGAGACCTGTTCTATATGAGACCTGTTGTATTACCTATAGTAATTAAGCTTAGACAGGGTTCAGGTTGAAACCGTGGTAGCACGGTTTATACCAGAGACAGTAGCACGAAACCGGACAGATCTCTAAGCATCCAGTTGTTGGGCTATTCCTCACCAATGAAATCATAATCATCTTAGCACAGGTAGGATATGTTTCCATCCATGTGGTGTTTTAGTACATATCTATGTATTGTGTGTGGGTGTGTGTGGATATACATGTATATGTTTTTTTTTTTTAACAGGTGGTTACAAACAGGGATACACAAGAAACTCTTCTCTGCATGGCCTGTGTATTTGAAGTTTCAAATAGTGAACATGGAGCACAACATCATATTTACAGGCTTGTAAAGGACTGAACATGGTTATTTATATATATAGATATCTGTATATACACACACATATGTGCGCACACACACACACACTCTCCATTATCCAAGGACTGACTGTCAACCTCACCACACAGGGGTGGTGCCCTGGCCCTGAGGTCACCCCGACTTTTCTAAATCCTGTTTGAGTGAAGTCATTTTTTTCATGTGTTCATACTATCATTGTAGCTGTGAAGTTCCGGTACAGTTGTAAAAAGAGAAATCGAGTTGTTTCTATGTGTTCTTCAGACCTGCAGCCCACAATTCCTCGGGAAGGGTGGACCTTGAGAACCCAAGTCTCTGCCGAGACCTGTTTTTATTTGTGGTAGAAAATACTGAGACAGAGCATTTGCCATGGGACATTGACAGCCTTTATACAAATGTATTTAGTTCTTTTTTTTTTTCCAACATAAAATTCTTGTTTTAAGATACAAGTAAAATTAATCTTTAAATATAAATGTAAATTAGTACACAAACTAAGAATCTTTAGACTTAACCTTTGTAACTAATTAGGGTGGAAGTTATGAAAGAATGTAATTCACTAAATTATTTTTTAAATGAAACTTTTCTTTCTTTTTGAAACCAAATGTTAAAATATAGCCTTAAATGCTTGGTAGAAATAGCCTAATGAGACAAATTTGTACTTTTTTTCTCAAGGTTAAAACTAATCTCCTAATCCATTAAACTCTGAACAGGTATTACAAAAGAAGAAAACTTCACCCCTATCCTTAACATATATAGTATATTTAAAAATATAAAATTGTATTGTACTAATGTGATGATTGATTATTTAATGAAAAAGAAAAGATGGCTCTTTTTTTGCAATAAGTAGATAAATACTGAAAATCTAAACTCACAATGTTTATAGTCTTGTGTGTGCAGTTATATTTTATATGGACAACCAAATTTTTTATTAAGATGCATAAATATTTGAACCACTGAAATGTAATAACAAAAATTTAAAATTGGCGTGAATACTGCACTGTGAGCTGCAAAGTATAGAAAATCCTGTGGCTGGGCGAAAACTTCATCAACCAAACCAATAAAAGGCTCATCAGTTTTAGCATCTGCTCCCCAGAAAATTGTAAGCACCCTCACCAGCCTGTGAATAAATTCATCATTTCTGGTGATTCCTATATGCCTATTAACCTGCTATAACGATATGTGTAGATATCCGTATCTACACGTGCCCATAGGTAGTTACTCAACACATATTTATTGAGCATCTATTTAGTGTCACTCAGTTTGCTAGGTGCTGATATGTATGTATATCTCAATCTGTGTCCGTAGTTCTAGATATATTCTCTAAAGACATCCATCTTCTTGACATCTCTCAATAAGTCACAGTCCTTGTTTGACTGAAGTTTAAGAGGCCCAGCTCTCTCTGTCTCTGACCTTCTCAGATAGACTCATCTGAAAGTCTGCCCAGAAGAGATTCAACTCTCCATGCCAAATAGTCCAAAGCATTGCCCAGGCAGATTTGGTTTGCCGTGGCCAAATGTCTTGGGTTATTTCCGTAAGTGCTTCATTGGGAAGGGGGCCGGGCACAGCCCCCAAGTTCCCAGAGGAAAGTGACATTTGTATAATTGTTAGGACTCTGTTAACACAACAGAGCATGAAAAGAGTTTTGTAAGTTGTGAAACATGTCAAAACTTTCTCATCAAGCCAGAAAAGAGAAACTTCATTCTGTCACATCCAAGCAACTCACGCCCTGCCCTGTCTCATGCTCTGCTCTGACCCTGCTTGTGTATTGGCTATTGTCCAAGGGTCATGAGCATGAGAGTGTGACTGGTTTGCTCTTGGCAAACAGAAGAGCCCTGGACCAAGCTTGACCTCTCCCAAACCTGTGCCACTGGTCACTGGGAAAGCCAAATGAGAGAGTGTAAAACTTTCCCCTTTTGGAATGCACGTCCCTCACCTATACCGATAAGACAGTGTCCACCTGTCCTCTGTAAAAAGACTACCCTTTGTTCCCAGACTCCCAGTGGGCTCAAGGGAGACTTCCCAGTGTGCCCCCTTTCATTTGGTCTCCAAACCAAACATTAAGCTTCTTCCATGGTCATTCTGCTGATGACTGCTGTTGGTTACCCATCTTAAGGATGTTTCTTTCACTCCCCTTTCCTATATCTTCCTTCAAGGGAACCCCCACTCCACCAAGACCAGGACCTCTGTAGAGAGGTACAGATCATCTTATATGTGTGGCCCAGAATCAGACCATCCAAGAACTTCAGGGGAAGAGGTATTCTGTTCACGTTGCCACACACGAGTGGGCCTCTTCTGTGCTGCCAGGAAAGCTCTGGGGACTTACTTGTCCAAGCACAAATAGACTGAGACCCAAGAAGTCCAGCTCATTAGTTCTTTCAGTGGCAAAGAAGGCATGCCAGGGTCTGCTGAGCTCACAGACTCAGCCGGGCCCTCTGAAACCTCACCGCCAGTGCCCTCCTCCAAATGCCTTTGTGTTTAGTTTGGGGTTTTACATGAATGACCTTAAGGATTACTTTTTGCTTTTAAAACATTTCTAGGATCCTTTAAACTTACTCCTTGTCTGGTTCATTAAAACTCTCTCCCTCTCTGAACCACTGATCCAGTTACCCAAACTCTTGGTCTCCCTTTGTCTTTCCTGAATTGAACCTTGGGAAGGTCGTAGGGTTAGGGGTATTAGATGTATTAGAACATCTAATCTGAGTCTGACCTTGGTCTTCCAGACTTTATGGCAGAGTCTTCTCCCTTTGTCTGTAAAGCTTTCTAAACCATAAAGAAACTTTTCTGAAGCTCTGCTGTCACTGCTCCCTTCTGGGTGTGCTCTCCTGGTGACCCTTCCCTACATGGTTGGATTCAAGAGGTACCTTGTATTTTCACTGGAAAGTTTGGAGGCCATTTTGCATGACCTAAACAAGAAGTCGCTGCAAAGCTGCACCCTGTTCTGTTGGCATTCATTTTCATCTTAGCAGGAAACCTAACAAAATCAGGACTTCTTCCAGAACATGGTCTAGAATCCCAGAATGTCCAGGCTATCCTGGACCGGGGTTTCTCACCCTTGATTTTGGACCAGATAACACTTTGCTCTGAGGGGCTACCCTGTCCATCAGGAGAGGTGTAGCAGCAACCCTGGCCTCTACCCATTAGATCCAGTAAAATCCCTTCCCCCGAGTTGTCAATACCCCAAAATATCTCCAGACATCGTCATATGTCCCAAGGGGAACAGAATTGCTCCCAGTTCATACAGGCCACAAATACTGTATTTGAGATTTTCTTTTTACTTCCATTTTATCCTGAGAAAGCTTCTCTCCTGGAAGGAAGCCTTGTTCCAGATCATTGAAAAGCGAGTAGAATATTACTCCAGTGGTTCTATATCCATGTTTCCTCTTGTTTCAGAACCTCTGTTTCAAACAGTCTTTCTTACTACAAGTATTCTTTCACTCGCCCCGTACTCAGCTTACACTTCTTTAAAGAACATGTCTAATTTGATCCTCATCCCTTTACCAGCTTAAAAAAAAAAAACAAAATCCCAGCTATTTTCTTATTTCTCCAAACTCATGGGTCTCATTATCAAACTTTTAATCATTTCAGTGAACTTCTTGTTCTCCTACTTTCTGCCTTACACTCAGTGCTGATTGTAGAATGTATGGAAGTCTCTGAAACATTTCTTTTCATCTTTAGCAATGGAGGAGGAAGAGATCAGTTTTGGAAGAGGGCTGATAGAATTTTCTTTATTGAGCTAAAAGAAAGCACAATCTACTCCTTCATTTTGTAGATGAGAAGGTCAAAGTCCAGAGGAGAGATGATTTGCCCCAAGCCCCCAGCAAGGAAGACACAATAAAGGCAAGACCCCTAGTCTCCTGCTGCTTTAACCTGCAGCCTCTTCTGTAGAGGTCGCACCTCTTGGTGCTCAGGCTTACATGAGCCCTACCAATGCATGGACAGGTGAGAAGAGAGGGAGCTGAAAAACCCCCTTTTGCCAAAGCAGCCTCACCCCACGGCTGCTGCAGCTGCTCACGCTGGCCTGCGCCTTCTGCAGCATCCATGAGCCCAGCAGGTACGAAAGCTGATGAGCCTTTTTGCCGACTCCAAGGACAGCCGCCCTGCCACAGGCTTCGGGTCCGATTTCAATTTGCGGAACATCCTAGCAGCACAGCCCCACACTCAGACCAGCCAAAACCAGCTTCCCGTTCCCAGCACTTGGTGTCTCCAGCCCCCGGAAGACTTTTAAACCCAAGTCTTTAGGTCTCAATACTGTAGTGGCTTTAGCAGTTTGTTTTTGTATGACCGTAAATTATTTAAATCCTGAGATGACAGTCCATTTTACAAACCAGGTACAGATCATTTGTATAATTTTGTATATGCTCTGGTACACTACACCTGTCCTGACGAAGGGTAGAACCAGTCTTGTTGGTGTCCACCCCTGTGACAATGAAGAGGATATGTCTGCATCACTTATTTCTTTATGTTGATGTTTCTGTGGCAAAGCCCTGCACATGTCATTTCTGAAAAGCCTTAAATCTTTGAGATGTTGCGTGTAGGGTATAAGTGCAAAAGGCTGCCTCGGAACTGTGAGCCCTTTTGTAAGCTGGAAGTGTTTCTCTTACTACTGTTACTTTTTTTAGGGAGTTTTCAATTCAGAGCTGCCAAAGCGTTCCTGTCAGCAGTGCCTTAGTGATACCTTAGTCGCGCCAGCCTTTTCTTACACCAGTTCTCAACGTCCATTTCCTAATTGGCCCAATATTGAAGACAGAACAAGCAAAAAAAAAAATGTTGCCCTTTTTATTTCGTAAGCCCATTTTTTTCCAGTTCTGTGAGAAACTGACAGCTTGGTCTCAAATCTGAAACTGGACACAAGTCAGTTCTCTGACCACACCCTTAAATGTATATACCAAAACAGAAGGTTTTGCAGCTTCATAGTTGACTATGAAAAGCAAATTGTACTTTTAATGTTGCCTTTTAAATTGACAACCAAATACTTAGCTCTTTGTGACTCTTCTGCACTCTAGCATGAAAGTGCCTTTGGTTTGAGATTCCAGCTTAGAAAAGTGCTGCCATAGTAACGATAACTTGTCGAGAGACCAAAAATTTCCTGAGATCACCGTAATGCCTTTGGTTTACCGGGATGAATAACCAGCCACAGGCCTCTGTTCTCAAGAGCACGACGTGGCCCTGGTGTTGCCGTCACCACCACCACCCACCAGGAGCACACTGCAGCAGGAGGGCCCCCAAGAACTATGTCTGTGTGTGCGCCAATGACCCAGCGTGTCATCTCAGATCATCACCCAGCCCTGCACCCGCCCAAGGGGACTTCCACGCAGATGGCAGAATCTCACCCTCCTCCTGACATTCGTGTTCATTAGAGAATGGAGGCTTTTCTGTTCCACTCAAACGACAGTGCGCACTTACCTGGTTGACACAGGGATACCGTCTTGAAAGTTGGAAGCCTCAAACTGAGATGACAGTGCAGAACAAAAATGAGTTAGGGCCATGACAATTGAAGTGTTCTTCGTAGGGCGAAAATGTGGACTCTGAGTGTTGTGTATGAATGTGCTATGAGAAACTTCCAAAGAGCACCATTCACAATTCGGCATTTTCAAAGAATGTTCCAGCCCTGGAAGGGCCACTCCTCAAAGTCCATGTGGGCTTTCATCAAAACCTTATGTTAAATTGGGGACACTCATAGAGGTAAGGAAGAAGCGTGAAAAGGATGAGAAGGCAAAAACACCAGCCAAACAAAAGCCAGGGGAAAAAAAGATTTTTCTTTACCGATAAAGACTTAAAAATGACATCAGACGTCTTTGAAAGTTAGCCTCTGAACTCTTGATGCCTATGTTCCTTCTGTCTCTGTCTGGTGTCTAAGACTACCCTTTCTGGGCTCTGAAATTTTAGGAGTGATTTCTGTCCACACCAAGTTGTATTTATAGAAATTTCTGCAAGGGAAAAAAAACTATCAAATGAAAAGAAAAATTACTCAACATGAGTTAGAGTTAGCTGCTTGAATTGAGCCCCTCCCTGTCAGTACAACTTGGAAGAAATGAGTCAAACACTTGTTTTCCTGCTTCTCTTTTCAACTGTTACTGTGCTTTGTTTGGCAATAGTTTTATCTCATAAACTCATTGCTTCTATCATTAAAAATGAAGGTTTTGTGTTTAAAATTTATTGCATTGAAAAGGATAGTTTCACTGAAGTCATGCACCATTAAATAAGATGAAATATTTGTATTTATTGTCCGACTTCCTACGCCCTAGCTTGTTTTATTCTCTGTGAATTTGCATTGAGTCAGTCGTACGCCACACTACATCATTTTAGTATTTGTGTTCCCTCCCGCCATCACTCAGTGGGGTCAGAGTCCAGTAGATTTCACCTTTCACAAGTTGACCTTCTTTGTCTGCCTTCCGTTAAGAAGTCCTCTGAGAGGCAGACAGAATGTAGGCATAAATCAGTTGGAAACCAGTCTGATTTTTTTGCATTTTTTTGCATTAGTCATTTTCTGTGATTCATTTCACTGTGTAAATTAGATATTAACTGCACTTCTTTAAAAGAAAAAAAACAACACATCTCCCTGTTACCTCCTTGAAAGATTCACTTCTGTAGGCCTTTTCCAGTAGGCTTATGACTGCAGATTAAAAAAAGTAAAAACGAAAAACAGTATGTGCCTGAAAACAACAACAACAAAAAGTTTTGTAACATTTAGAAAAAGAAACCTGAATAGCCTTTAATTATTTAATATGCTTAAATTTTGTGTAAATTGGTTTTTGCCACGTGTGTTTGTTCACATTCTCAATGACTTAATGGGATTCTCATGGTCTGTGTCTTCGTGTCACGTGTAGAAAATGGACTCGTGACGTAACGTTTCATCTGGTCAGTGGTTCCTTTGACGTACTGCTGCTGGGAGCAGCTTGGGAACCTGCCTTAAGGCAACACGGTTCCCCTGGGGTAGATTGAGAAATGGGGGGCGGGAATGGGGATAAATTCTCACACTTGTTCTCTTAACCTATTTGCAGAAACCTTCAAAAGGCATTGGGTTAAACCTCTCGGCAGTACAGTATTCTTGTATTTGTTAACGTCTGTGTTTAGGTACTGGTACCTTTTTGTTTAAAAATGTTCTAAGTGTTGGCTTTAAAGTGAATTTATCTTTAGTATGATAGTTATATGAAAATTATAGGGTTTGTGTGCAGAGAATTTTTTTATAAAGTGCTTTGTAAAAAAAAAAAATGTATTCTAGCTTTCGCGGTACATATGTGTGATAACTTTAATATCCATGACAGTTAAGTGCAATTATTTCATCACTCTAAAAATGCTATTTTTGTGTCAGTTCCTGCAGGTGTTTTCATGTCTTTGCAAAGTGACACATTTTGATGCCTTCTTGATAAAGTGGTAGACATTTTGTAGCTTTCTAGAAACTTTGTATTCATACGGTATCAATGAAAAATAAAGAAAATGAAAGTGTGGGTCACCTTTTTTTATCTCCACCAGTGTATGCTGTTGAAAATAAAAGGTGCACAGTGTTGTGGGTGATGATACAAAGCATAGAGAGGAGGAGGTGTAAAAATGATCCTTACAAGGGTGTCCACCAAGCTCAGGACTTGCAGTACTAGGTGTTAAATCTAGCAGGGTTTCTGAAAAGCACCCACAAGTCAGACTGTGCCTTGTTTGTCTTTAGTGCTTCATTAAAATTGACATGTGTTTTGCAGAACAGCCTGTCTGGAGGTCCCAGGCATGCCCTGAGAAGTCATGCCCCACATTCCACCAACCTGCAGTAGGACCTTGGAAAACCAAAAAGCCAGCCACACAGCATTTCTTGTTCTAACCCAATGTGCTGGTCATGTGCCAGGAACCAGGGTAGAAGGAGGTTGGGCCACCCAGGTATATACTGTATGACTCTTGCCTGCACAGTTGGGTTGCCTGTTGCACTGAAACCCTGTGCTCCATCCTCAGCATCATTGTGGGGTTCCTGATTCTGGCGTATGCAGCACACATGCAGAACAAACCTTTGCATCCTCTGTTCACTGTATGCTGGGTGCTGAGCTAAGAGCATTAGTGCCTGGGTATACATTGTTCTCTTTAATTCTCAAAATAGTCCTAATAACCAGGACATTATCCTCCCCACAGTTGTGACTGGTGAGTAGAGGAGCCTTAAATAGGTACCCCTGACTCAAGCACCATTGCGCTACATTTCAGCTTACTGAGAGTCCATGGCAGCAGCTCAAGACTGGAGGAGAAATCTGGGTGGAGAGGGACTGGTTTTCTTACACAACAATGACTTGGGCTTCTGACCACAGGACTGCTGGCACCAGGGTCCTCCTACTCTTCTCCCCACTTCTTTGAAAGCTGAGGTAAAGTCCTACTCAAATCCCAAGAGGTACTGAGCAATAAACTGAGCAATAAAAATCCCAGCTCCTTTGAAAAGAGATGTTTCCAGTAAACCACAGTTTAATAGGAATGCTGTTTTCCAGGAAGCTGCTGGGGCAGAGGGAAGGGACCCAGGATGTTGTGAAGACCTTCTACTATGCCAGGCACCTACATAGTCCCTATTCCCTTTAACCTGCATACTCTTGAATAAAGGGTTTGCTGTCAGTTTTCCAGTAAGGAAAAAAATCCATGGTGACGATCATAAAAAGCTACTTAGAGGCAACAAAGTGGAAAAGAAAACCCTTGCAGTTCTACCACAGACTGTAGGCTTTTGCCCTCCACTCCCTCCTCTGAAATGAGGTGCTTAGTAGCTACATCAAAAACACCATCCAGTAAAGGAATCAAAGGAGCAACAGGGAGGGTAAATCATGCTTCAGGTAAGGTCAGAGAACAAGCAACTTTGCAGAGAACCCTGCTCATTTCTTCCTGCCTGTGGCTGCAGGAGACAAGTCATAAGCACAGATAGTGCCTATTGAAAGCCAAATCGCCTGTTTATTCTTTTTATTTTATTTTTTTTGAAGTAGTCTGAGCAACTGAGAATTCTTATGAAAAAAAGTGTGTAGGCTTGTGAATTTGTAAAGCAGATTCTCACATTTGTGACCTTAGAAGGTTTTCAAACAATTTCGGTTATTTATAGAAAAAACAGGCCAAAAAAATGTAGGACATAGATTTGGACAGCATTATTAATGTGCAGTTTTAATTTATGAGCTACAAGGTAGTGAAGCCAGCCATTGGAGATTTACACATTATTTTCAAGCACACATGGAAGTTTTATGAAAATTGACAGTATCCAAGGCCAGGGGTCTGGAAACTGTGATCTGTGGCCAGCTGCCTGTTTTTGTAAATAAAATTTTATTGGAACATGGCCATTACTGCTTGTTTACTTATTGTCTGTGGCTGCTTTCATGCTATAATGGCAGAGTTGATTAGTGGTAATAGAGTTTATAGCCTGCAAAGCTGATAGTAATTATTACCTGGCCCTTGCTGACTCCCATCCTAAGCCAAAAAGCAAGGTCCTGCATCCAACAGTCCTGAAAAAATAGTTGTGTTTCCATTTCCCCAGTGTTTAGACACTCTGGCAAGTGACTAGGTCCCTTTGAAGCCCTTGTGGCATCATAGTATCATTTCTCAAAGTGCTCCATCCTCCCCCTCGATCCATCAGCTCTGGGGATCAGCTCTTGGATCTTGAAAACTTGGGTGAGAGATGATTTTTCATCGCAGCAACTGACATCGCATCCAATCTTGCTATTTTATGGCTTAAACAGGTAAGCAGCACTTTTGATGGCAGCCTATCTATCTTGTCCCTGTTTAGCCATTACAGGTCCCCGGAGGGCCAGGCTCATTGGTTTCCATTCTTTGCTGCCTATACGGTAATGGCTACTTTGCCTCTGACACCTAAGTGCGGCTACCTGGCCTCTGGTGTTCCAGAATCCTATCATCTCCATACAAGGGAAACCAGTTCCATGTCCATATCCGCTACATCAACTGGGTCTGCAAGCCACCAAGTTTCTTGGCAGTGCTGATCCACACTGGTTTCAGTAAAGGGAGAGTCTTTGTGGCCTTTTGGGGTGCACAGAATCAGATGTGGGATTTCTGGTCTTCTAAGTCCATCCTGGGAGCATTGCCTCTGGGCTCTCTGAGCCTTGCCTTAGACTTTGCCAGGGCAGCTCCACCTCATTAATGCCAGACCATTGTTTCCTCCACATTTCAAGGAACACGGCACATGGTCTATCCTTGGTCTACCTGAGAGGATCGTCTCTAAATGTTTTTGCCAAGATACTGAGTCCTGAACTCGAAGTGTATTCTACATTCTGCAAAACCCTGTCCAACCTAGTCCATTCTCATGTCCTCAAAATTCATTCCCAGGCATGTTCTCCCGGTTCCTGCTGGGAAAAGAGTACAGACTTGCCAAATCCTGCCGCTCTCAGTGATGAGCTCTTTCCCTTTGAGTTAAGGACCTGATTTTCCCCAGTGGACCATGCTGATTGGTCTAGAAACAATGAGATGAGGTGGGTCAGATCCTAGGGAGGCAGCTCTTCAGATCTTCAGATTGTAAGGCACCCACTTTAATTAAGGCCTTACCTACCACAGTCTCCAGGCAGGGGAGGCTTCTGTCCACCAGCAAGAGGGAGAGAACTAGTATCCGAAAAGCTTCAGAGGGCTCTGCAGTTCAAAGCAGTCAGTGTTTCCTCCCAGGTGTCCCCACTCACATTTCAGAGACCCACTCATTACCAATTAGGGCCTGATTTTAACCTAGGAGACTTGTGAGGGCTGTGAATTCAGCTTTACCTGTAATTTCTGGCTTGATTTTCAGCACAGTCTACCCTGCAGCTGCACAAGCTAAGGGTTTCAAACGCTGCCAGGGAGATCTTTTATAACAAACTCTAAGTTCAACCTGACAAATTCTCCCTCCCAAGCAGTGATCACATTTAGCAACAACCAGCCTCTCCCACAAGCACAGTCACCACCACCTCATCTGTCCAACGTGCCAGAGATTGCACAGGTGAGTGCCTGAGGCAAGGATTAAGATACTAATACTTTTTTTTGGTTGTGTGTGGGGGGGTGTCAATGGATGAAAACTCGGAGCAGCATAGATGGAAAAAATGGAAGTAAAGCAAGGGAAACCAGGACATTGAAATGACACCATTTGTTGAAAAAAGCTCTTTCCCCATTAAATTACATTGACACCTTTATTACAAGTCAATTGACAATATAAGTGTGTACATACATATATATTTAATTTATGCATATAAGAACTGGGATGCAGGCAGAGGTGAGGGGGAGTGAGAGGATTCATCAGAGACAGTGGCGAACAGAAAAGGCAGACTGACTGAAAAACACTGCTGAGGGGAGCAGTGGGCAGACAGGAGAGGTCTGCTGCACCATGTGGGTAACAACCCAGCCGGCTGGTATGATCCCACGCTGCAGAGACTGCGGACAGCTTCACAGCACTGCGCTCAACCCACTGTGCCACCAGGGAGGCTCTGTGGACATATTTTTAAATTTAAAATATTTTTAAAGATTTACTTATTTATGCTTACAAGAACTGGGGTGTAGACCAGAGGTGTGGGGGCGGGGGATGGAGGATTCACTAGAGAGAGTGAGGAGTAGAACAGGCAAATTTACTGAAATACACTGCTGAGGGAAGCAGCAGGCGAGACAGGAGAGGTCTGCTGAGCCATGAGGGTTGCTCCCTGGCCAGCCGGGGATTGAACTCATGCTGCAGTCGTTGCTGATAGCTTGGTAGTGCTGTCTTTAATCCCTGCGCCACCAGGGAGGCCCTAAATATATTTTTAAACATTCTATGCTGTTCTATTGACTGGCTTGTTTCACCTTGAATAATATCCTCAGGTTTCACCCATGTTGTAGCAGGCACCAAACTTTCTCTTTAAAGTTAAATATTATTCTATTGTATGGATATACATTTTTTGTTTATCTGTTCATCTATTGATGGACACTTGAGTTTTGTCAGTTTTTTTTTAAGTATTTTTGAGACTATTGTAAATGGAATTAAAAACATCCATTTTGAGTTGTTCAATGATAGTATATAGAAAGTCAGTTGACTTTTTTGCTAACGACTTTAATCCTATAACTTTGGTCAACTCACATATTCGTTCTTCTAGCTTTTTATTTTTAAGCATTAAGAAACTTTGTCATCTGTAAACTGAAATGTCTCACTTTTCAATATGCATACTTTTTCATTCTTTCTCACTTTTTTCCCTATTGCACAGGCTAGGCCCTAACATAAAGTCCAAGACAGTGGTGAAAGTGGGCATGCTTGCCTTGCTTCTAATCTTAGGAGGAAAGAATTCAGCCTTACCCCATTCAGTGTGATGTCAGCAGTAGGTTTTAGATCAGAGAAAAGAAGTAACAGTCATTTTAAAATCCTTACCTGCTAATTCCAACATCTGGGTCACTTTGGAGTGGTCTGAATGGATTGCCATTTCACTTGAGAATGGACCCCATTTTTCTGGTTCTTCATCTGTTGGGTACATTCAGACTGTGTCCATTATGAATGGTCAGTTGTGGAGGATCTATGTTCTGATATTTTTCCCCAATAAGTGTTATTTCATTTTGTTCCAGCAGACATTTTCCTTGCTTGAACTCTAGGAACTCGGAGTCTTGGGCAGCCTCTCCAATCTCTTTCAGATGCTTGTCTTTGGCTGAGATGCTCACATTTGTTCTGTGTCTGTGGGGTCAGGGGTCAGCCAGAGAGATGAACAGATCGAATCTGGGGCTCTTCTCGCTGACGCTTTCCCTCCTAGGATCCTCTGTCCTCCCTTTGCCAATTGTTCTCCTGGACTCACTCTTCTACTTCATGAGCCGAACAGATGACATTTTCTACCAGCGGCTGCTGGCCCTCAGTTAACAAGAGAAGAAATGGGGAGCTAATTTCCTAAGCCTCCTCTCTACACACGCACTTTGCACCCAAATCTACCAGCTTCTGTTCATTCTCTAGCGCTTTCAGTGCTTTCATTTGCATCACATCAGTAAAATCTCACTGTAAACAGAAGGATCACCTCAGGGGCAAATACTAAGATGCTTCCTCCTCCTCCTTGCAGGCTTTCAGCTTTTGCATGGGTGCCCCAATTCTGCTACAAAATCAATATGACGTCTAGTGGCTTGGTAAGACAGTTTGGTTTTAATCGGTTATAGCTGGATTTGGGGCTTAGGTGTGGGGGGGGTCAGTAGTAATGTTTTAATATTTGATTTTTTAAAGAAACATTGATTGGAAAATATTAACAACTAATATACACAGTCCTTGACCTCACTCTGCTCACTAGCAGGCAGGCGGGAAAGAAGGGGGCAGGGAGGGCGGAGGGAAACACAAAGGGAGGGAAGGGAATAAGGAGAAAGGGGAAGAAAATGTCAGAGAAGCTTGGAGTGAAGAGAGGCATGCAAAATAGAGGAGAAATGAGAAAAGGTGCAGGAGATGAGCTTAAGACAAGAGGAAGGTGGTGATGTAGAGAAAGGATATTCTAGGAAGAGGATGCAAAGGTAAGGATCTAGAAATATGAATAAGTCTAGAAGCATCTAGAAAAAACTAGAAAACTAGAAAAGGGGATTAGCAGGAAATGAGGTTTATATTTTAGTCTGTGAAACACCTTTCATTTTCATGGGGTGAAATTTTTATTTTTATTTTACCCAATAGGCAGAGGGCAGTCATTTGAGTTTCACCCCTCAGTGAGTGCTCAGACCCCCTGCTGGCTGTCCACTCCTCTAAAGCAGAGCACCTGACTCCTGTGGGTGGTCTTCTCAAGACTTCTATGTTAGCTGCCTTTCACTCCTGTGGTCAATGGAAAGTACTGGTAGATTTGTTAGTGGGTGACCAAAGAGTCCCCCTAGAATCCCCAAATTTGCACTCTATTGGGGTCTGACCATTCTGTGCACACAAAGGCAAAGAAGACTCTTAGTGTGAAAGATCTTTAATAGGATTTGTGTGCATAGAGGAAAAAGGATATCAGTGTCCCAGTAAAACGCCCAAAGTTACTCACCCACTCTTGGGTAAAACTTGCCACAGTATAAGGCATCTTCGGGTGGGTACCCACAGAAAAGGGGCTGGGTAAGTCTGGGACAGATAAGTCTGGGACGAAGGATCAAAACAAAAGTTCAATCAAGACAAGAGCTGTCATTGTCAGCCTCTCCCTATGTGTCTCCCCCATGCGGCTCCTCCAAATTGCTGGTGCAAGTCCAAAGCCAAGAAGCAGGCATCCCTCTTCTCCATGTGTCTCTCCCTCTGAGCCCACCCGCATTCCATGTTGTAGAGCCTCACCTGGCCGCTCAGGTCCACCCATCCTTCAGTGGGGCGGGGAATATGCACCTCCCCTAACAGATCGAAGGTGGGAGAAGCAAGGGCCAGGCCGCGTGCCCTCATTTCAGGTGCTCTCTCCAGCAGTGACCTTATTTCCTTCATGGCTTGAGGTGCTGTCTGAGGGGCCCACGAGAATTGCAGCTTCTACTGGTGATGTGTCCTGGGGGCACCACCCTGACCCTTTGCTCTTTATCCTGACAGTGGCGATGGCTTCCTGTTCCTGTTAATCCTGGACTTTAGCTTCCCAGCACCCCCACCACATGTGAAACCAATGCCTGACATCAAATTCCCTCTCTAGTAGATACCTGGAGTGGTTTCTGTCCTCCTAGTTAGTCCCTGACTCATACAAGAGGAACACTTTCTCTCTGGTTTCCACAGAAAGGGACTTTTCTTCCCTCTTGACATCTTGCTCTAGCCCTTACTTCTCCCCATGGAAGTGGACTGAATTACCTGTTAGTGGGCGACTACAGTTAGTTCACATCCTCATTTGGGTGGATCTCTCTTGGCGGGAATTT